GAGCATACGATTCACCTGATGTTAAGTGACTACCGCAGCCCATAAACAACCGCAACACAAAGGGAATTGCAGGTGCGTTGCCGGCCCTTTAGAAAGAAGTAAGCTCCTTTCTTGAAGGTTCCCAGGTCGTATGGGTCCGGAGAAATCGCCGGTGGTAAACCATTCGACAGAGAGGTCGTACGCGGAAGAAAACTTCTAGTGAAACGTACAGTGGTGGACCGCCAAGCATCCAGGTGTTGTGAATGGTATCGGGACGTTTGCCGCGTAGTGCGTTCATGAAATTTGGCGGCTTGGATTAATCCGAACAATTCCTCACAGCACTCCCCGTGTTATATGCGAAAGAAAATGCAAAGAGATGCAACATTTCTTCGCAGCGCCAGTGAATTGAGCCGATCGGAATGTCGATAGTTGTGCGGCCTTTCCGCGAGTGTATTTTGTCAAACAATTTACATCTGGCTGCTAAATCATCAAACTCAACACAATAGTTCCAAACAGGACTTGTTTTTGGCTTCATGATTACACTTAAATTACACACACGACTCAAATTACTAATTAACTAAATAACAATAACAGAAAATCCTACGCTGGGACAAGTGCCGAATGAACGTGCCCAGCTCGCTTGTGGATGGTTGAAATGCCCTTCGCCGCTCTTACACGTGCTCAACTATTAAACGATGCGCACGTACCTGGTTTGCTGCGTCACATGAGTAGATAAACGGAATTTTATCTACTTATGTGGCTGCGGCACTGAGTTCCGTTCGACTTCCGTTATAAAACTTGCAGAAACAGAAGCAGAAACGGTTGTTAAAAACAATGGAGAACTTCTGCAGTTGCGGTAACAGAAACAGAGTTCTTTTGCATCACTAGGATACAGTAGTGTGTTTTCCTCGCCTTCCCAATGAAAGTGACAGACTTTTTGTTTAGGAATTAATGCGAAGGGCCTCTTCAGTTGGTTCAAACTCAAAGGATGGTGATTATAATATAAAAATAAAATTTCATAGAATTTTAGTAAAAATTTAAGAAAGTCTCGAAATCGAAATATCTATGAGTGGGAATGAGTTACTATAAGCTATTCAAAATTTAAACAAAATGTGTAAAATTGAATGTATATTAATTATTACTCTAAGCTAAGGTAATTAATAGCATTGATTATCATAGGGCACGAAACTTTGACGTTATTGAATTATTTGAAACTATTGACCAAAGAGACTATAATCACTACGTTTAAAAGGCGGGACTTCCTTAGTCCTAGAGTTATCAATAAACATTATATCCATAAAATTATTCGAGGATAGACATTACATCCCTATTATAATTTTTTTAACTATGATAACACTTATATATGTTTCTACAAAAAATGTGCATAATAATATATTTGTCCTATACTTAAGTACCCATAGAAATGTCGCATCTGAACAAATTAATTTCATAATCTATATTCCATCACTGCGAGATGGCGTCTTAGGAACAATTTGTTTTATTATTAATCTATAATACTTTTTTTTATTAATTAGATATCTTATTAACCGATAAAAAAGTTATTCCTCGGTATTTGCTAACATTACTTCAATTATTTGTGCAATATCTAAAAACACACCAAGGCATATTTTATTAAGAATTTTTTTATATAATTAATCAACACGTATTACATCACGAGCGCCTAGCGAGTAACTAAGTAAAGTGCGGCACTAACGCCACGATTGAATAGTACAGCGTACACACAATAGCTCAATGCTGGAAAATAAGATTTTGGAGGTGCTCTAAGTCCATACTTAAAGACTCAATTGAGTGTAATTTGATTGTCTTCGTTTTTGGTTTTTGGTAAAGTTGTCGTTATAAATTACTTACATATGATTATATTATTACCGTTGCAGTCTATTAAAGTCCACTGCTGAACATAGGCCTCCCCTATAGGTTGCCTCATAGGGCCATATTCGCCGTAGTTGTCACACTTGACAAGCGGGTTGCCAACCGCAGTTTTTTATTTAAAGTCGTTTATAGGAAGACGTTGCTACCCATTTCCTGATCTGTTTCCCTCTGTCGCCTCTTATGGCATCTATGGGATAATATCGAGTATTAGATATTCTTACACCGCCACTACACGATTAAACAGTAAGTGTACTGTAGTAAAGGAAATCATAATTTTAACTTAATCTTCAAATTAATTTATAATATCTTTATAAAAGTAGCAATACTAAAAATATTCTCACACTATTCAATATTTATAATATCATTATATCGCATTTGTGTGGTGCAGGGATGACTATTGACATTTTCATTAGGTGGAGGGCACGTAGTAGGACTACGTGCCCTCCACCTATGCAATAAGTGTGAACGAACAGAGCAACACGTAGCTATATTTAGACAATCAAGTTCGGAAAAGCAATAGGTGACTCATCAGTGGAGTGTATATTTACATAAACTGTTTTTTATAGGATAGGGTGACAAACCAGCACACAGTCCACCTGATGTTAATTGGTTTTTTCTTCATCTTTTTTTTAAAAAACGTTAAACGTTGATTGCTGTGGCCCACAGACATCTACGTCTATCCTTGATTACGAATCAAAATTCAGATGCGTTGTCACCCGAGAGGACTAAGGTGGTGGTAATGCTCATCATACGAAACGCAGCAGCATTAAGCTACTATTTTACGCTGGTATTATGTGAGAGCGTGGCTCTTCCCCGGTCGAGCCGAGCCATTCGTGCTACAACTATACTACTATTATAACTGCAGCATGGCTCTACCGCGTATGAAAGTAATATATGTATGTTTAGTGCTACTTTTGAACCCGCCATAACTCAAAAATATTAGACCTATATATAGGCAAATGGTGTAGAAAAATTAATTACAAAATAAATTCAAACATTATGTCCTTTTTATCTTTCAAATTCAAAATGCGTGGTAATGCATTATTTTAACTGATTTTACTGCGCACGCAAACATTCGTAGGGCTCGATCGGGAGGCAAAAACGTTGTTGCCCATAAATCACGTTTAATTTGGTATAATTTCAAATTAAAGTAGAGGCCTTATTTACTCGTATTTTCAAAATGTGCATGTATATCATTATTTATATATTTGAACTTAAATTTATTATTAGCTATTCTTTGAAAAATAACACTGTATAACAAACAAGCTGTAAAAATTCAATTTCGACAAAGTTGTTAGTTAAAATTATTAAAAAAATTACAGTGAAGCGGATTTACTTTTTTTCATAGATTCATGATATCCCACCAAAATTACCAATGTGAAAAGGGAGCCATGTTCAGTCCGAAGGATGTTCACGGTTCACCGATAAATGAGTTGAAATCCAAACGGGCCGCAAGCTCCATAACAGTTTCAAAAACATTGTAGATTCTCATATATCCCATGGTATATGCAACATCTGCTTTCGTACGAACATCAGCTCCAGCTTGTTTTCAATTCAAGAATTTTCTACACTAATATAACAGATAATAAATGAATATCTCGATATTTACTATTATGATGAGCATGATAATCACAGAAGAATGCCCACGTGACACTAACTTATTTGTTTAAAACTGACCTTACTTCATTTCTACAAACTTAAACTATACGGAAGTCTTGATTAAATCTTAAACCTACAGTATTGAGTTTTGAATTTATCATACTATACATATTATATAGACCCAAGGTTTCACCTGTGTATATCACGTGTCTGATGTCAAGCATTTTGATAGTAACGTATGGAAATTATGGCAAAATTATGAAGTAATTTTAGCTATCGAGATATGAACGTTATACAGCGAAGTTAAATTTTATTCACTCTCACTCCCCCTCCCGGGTGAACTTCACACCTCTGCGCCCCAGAAAGTGTCCCAAAGCGCGGTTTCTTTTTTCAGTTTTAAAGAAAACCATACACGATACATGAAAAGTGTGTAGGTATGAAATACAAAGTACCATTACACCAACGCTCGAGGATAAATAATTTTGAGAGCACATTTCCTTCTGAGTTGCTTATCAAAACAATATTTAAGGCTAGCTGAGAGGTGTAGCCTAATATTAGATAGTCTATACAATTCTCATAAATTCGACAATATACAAAAATAACTTTTAAAATCGGACGGTTCCAGAGATTAGCGTGTTTACACAATCAAAAAAACAAAAAAAACTATTCCGTTTTATTAATAATAATAATAATGTCCTCCAGACCGAATTTCGGCCACGGCGGCCTGCCTCAACGGAGGCTAGCCATCGGCGCAGGACAAGATTATAGTGTCTAAGTGTATGCGCAAGCACAGGTGCACTCTCTATTCCGTCACTCTCGTAATCCGATGGGACGGTAAACCGATACGACCGGGAGAGAGATCAGGCGCAGGACCAACGGCTTTACATGCTTTCCGAGGCACAGGGGTGAGACACCGCCAACTTCCTGACTCCGGACAGCTACTGAGAATTTCTTGACAGAAAAACTCAATAATTGATTTTTTGGACCGGCCCGGGATTCGAACCCAGGACCTCATAATCAGCAGTCGCACTACTACAACCACTAGACCAACGAGGCAGTCAATATTATTATAGAAGGAATTAGTATATAAGGATAGATATATATCTCTGATATCTTCTGTTCTTATACACTAAATACATCTTAATCGGCCTAGTTGCAAGTGATCAAGATAAAATAAAAACAGTTGCATCATCAACGAATTCTGGGTCGATGCAAGGATGACTCACTCAAAGAAAGCCGCCTCCATTAAAATACAAGTGATCTTTAAGCTACAGATCAATCATCACCAGACTACTTGTTCTTGTTATCGCGTTATACTAACCGATTCGGTAGAATACTGATTGTTTGAAAAATATCCAGGTGACGAAACGTTTAAAAGCAACCGGTTTATATTCGTACGTTTAACGTCGCTATGATACAATGCAATCAATGCCCGGGGCAGTGTCGACGTATATAAAAAGTCTGAGATGTTTTGTTCAGGTACATTCAAATTGAGGTCTCTTCTTAGATAAGTAACAATCAGCCCCTACGAAATGGCTTTCAAGGTAGGTTTAAATGACATTAATTTAGATTATACTAATAAATCGATTTAAAATGGGGTTAAAAATAAACTAATTTCATTGTTTAAAGCTTTTACACCTTTTTTAAAATTATTTTAATGTCTAGTAATTTACCTATAATATAACCATCTAATAGGTTACTCTAAAAATGAATTATTTGATTTAATAATGATATACTTACCAATTTTGTTAAAATTTAAAATGTATTGCACTTTGTATGTAGCAAAATGCAGGTGTATTATCAGCCCTGACTGTAAATATGGGATGTCTAAACGAAAAGGATCTCTCCTTCTCGTAACTCACCATTCAAAATTCAGCAGCAGTGTGCTGCTTTTTACGCTGACATTCTGTGCGTTTGTACATGTACTTTTTCTTATTTTTGTTTTTCCTTCTTTTATTGTTATAGTCATTACAGATCATCACAAGTCCACTACTGAATATCGACCTCTCTCAAGAAATGCAACAAGGCACAGCCCTGAGCCACCTATATCTCGATTCGATTTTCTGCATCACTTATCAGGTCGTCACTCCATCTAGTGGGGGACCCGTCCTCCACTTCGCTTACGGATACGAGGCTACCATGCAAGAGCCCTTCTTCCCTATTAGTTGTCGGTTTTTAGAGCCAATATGGCCAGCCTTTTGTCACCTCAGCTTACTGATCTATTAAAATTAAAATTTAGCCCTCGGTTAAAATGTTCGTTAATAACTTTTTTTACTTTTGTATACCAGTGCTTGACTACTATCCTATCTGATGATAATTGACGATGCAGCCGAAAATGTTAAAACAATAGAATACTTTAATACACAATAGAATGGCTGTCAACTTTATTTTGTACGAGGTTTGGCGTCGCCAAACCCGATTTGACTTCTTCATTATTCAACATCATTAAAAATCATGTATATTTTAATACATATTTATTTGTAAATAGGGTGCAATTTTGGCATCACGTCAAAACACATCTCGTGTTGACATTTATACGTGGTGAATTCACGTTTTAGTGACATTTTAGTGGCTACGCGGGCTCCGTCCACTCCCCCGTTCTATTATGTATGTATTACGGCATTTTATGGTTAAAACACACTGACTTAATTTAACGAAAACGAAAGCACTTTCGCCTTGCAGTCTGACAAATCCTTCCATTCCTTTAATGCGTTACAACTTCGAGCGTAGTGCTTCTAACAATTACCTACGTGGTGTGACATGGCCGTTATACATAACCTTATATAGACCTATCCGTTAGGAGACATTATTGAGATCATTGAGACTAGTCTTGGGGTTCTCAAGCGATTCTGCGGTAATGACTATATCGTCGGCAAATCAAAGATCGTTTTTCTTACATACGTATTACACTGTAGTTATCCACTACTGGTTATGTTTTTCTTCATTGTTACACATTGATTGGCCGCATTGGCCATGCTTAGCAGGTAGATTGGCAATCCCAGTATTAGAAGCGGTTGTTAACATGCGCATTTTAAATCTGACATATACGAAATGGTATATCCACCTTTCACATCTTTTACCTACCCATCTACCTTTCACATAATCGACTCTCACGACACCTAAAATATTTTCAAGGCATTTATAAAAAATGGTTTCTGATTTCATGAATTATACTTTGTATTATGTATTTTAGTTGGTGATCCTGGTGTGCGCCATCGCTGCGACACAAGCTGGTATTGTCGCACCTGTGACATACACAGCGCATCCTGCGACGTTCGCTTATGCTACCGGCCCTGTGGTACAAGCCGCGCCGGCGGTCTACTCTAATCCAATTGCTAAAGTCGCCGCAGTTGCTCCAGTAGCGAAAGTCATTGAAGATTATAACGCACACCCCCAGTACAGCTTTGCGTACAACGTGCAAGATGGCATTACGGGAGACTCCAAGTCTCAGCACGAAACTCGCGATGGTGACGTAGTCCAGGGTTCTTACTCGGTTGTCGATCCCGATGGCACTAAGCGTACAGTTGATTACACTTCGGATCCTCATAATGGTTTTAACGCTGTTGTTCACAAGGAGTCCTTTGGTGCCCCAATCGCTAAGGTTGCTGCCCCAGTGGTACACGCTGCTCCAGTGGTACATGCTGCTCCAGTGGTACACGCTGCTCCAGTGGTACATGCTGCTCCCGTCGCGTATTCCGCTCCTATCTATCATCACTAACAAACCTATAGGCTGCTAGTCAGTAGATAAAACAAACAAGTATTATTTAATTTTGTAAGTTTTACGACAATATTTTAGCTAATAAACATACCTACTTTGCTAATTTGTGTTTAATTATGCGGGTTAACTTGATTCCTTATACGTTAAATAACAGGGTATTTACCGTGTCATGTGGCGTAGCTAATTATATAAATGACAATATAAATAATTTAGTACCAATAATAAAATGTATTTACAAAAGATACTACAAAACGTTACGGTCTATAGAGACAATATCTATATTGTCATAAAGATAGATCACGGACAGCGATCTCTAGAGGCGTATGTCACGTTGTCCGTTATGCGGTGCGGTATAGAGCAACACAGGAGGGGACAAGCCATAGCGTTATTTTCAGATTCCAAGCTGTCTGTTATTCATTATTTGTGAGATTAAATCTGCGCCACGCACACTTTTACAGACTCCAACACAAAAATAATCATCTGTCACTACGAAACTCGCACATAATTAAAATAATATATGTAAAATTTCACACACACACACATAGATACATTCCGTGGTATAACCATAGATTTATTATAATTTTAGAATTGATTCGCAATGCAAAAGAGCAAGAGCATGGTGTACGCGTATGTTGGAGCGAGAAAGATAGGCTAGACCATTCACGTACCCTATCGTTCACTGTATCGGCATGGTGTCACTCGCGAAATAAAACAAATCCCGCTTGTTTGCAAAATCTCAGGTTCTAAAGTGAAAATTAGTGTTTAATAGACGTAATTATAACTAGGTGCGTAGTACTCATACCTAAATATAACTAGAAATCCTACATTATTTTATTACCCAGAGGTACAATTAAAATGTTTAGCTTTCTAAATGCTATTTTTCAGAGCAGATACAAATATTTTTGTACTTAAATAGACAGGAAAAATATCACACTTTTTAATTAAGTTTAATATAATTACAAATACACCAAATTATGCTAATTTTAAGTTTACTATTGTTAAGATTGACATTGTCAATATCGAAATATCCTTAACATGCAAAGGTACGTCTTGCATGCAGCCTTATTCAACTTAGTATTTATTTTTTAATTTTTAGGGTTCCGTAGATAAATATAATAAAAATAATATTTTAATCTGAATAATCTTTTGTTAATTAGAATTAGTTTGACGAACGAGAATGCAGTTCAGCTGATGGTGAGTAGATACTGTGGGAGATTTTCACAAAATATTGATGTTCAACAAAAATGTTTGAAAATAATAAACAGAGAAGAATGGGTTCCGAAAAGGAAATATTCAGCAAGTACTTTAAAGAAAAATGATTTTCTCCCAGCGTGTAGTGGCGGTGTAAACTTTTATTACGTCACGCCTGTAATCCCCGAAATGGTAGGCGATTCCATAGAATAGAGAACTACTCGAAATACTTGTAACCAAAATTAATACCTAAAATTATGAAAAAATTAGGTAATAGATATAGCGTTGCCAGATGGTCGGGATGCGTTTGGATTCTCCCGACATTTTAAAAGATTTCCAGACTCCCGACAAAACTTAGCATCTCCAGACAAACAGGTTCTATTCAAATCACAGCTGTCTTTGGTGTAATGAAAGCTGAATTTGTAATTATACTGAACTTTGACGTAAATTGTTCGAATTTTAAATATTTTCTGAGTACCACAAAAGGGTCCATTCGTGAACTCTAAAGTCCAATGCCGAATACATGTGGCAATATAAAAATCGAGTGTACTTAAATTAGTTATGTGTCAACAATGTTAAGGTGTTGAATGTGATGAAGGTGATGAAATGCTCGAAAATCTGGTGGTTTTTCTATTTAAAATATTTTTTTAAGTTTTATAGATTACAAACCAAAATTTTGGTTTATGATTTTTGACTATATAACCTTAGATTGTATAAAAGGAAAACACGATATCATGAAATTTTCTCGATAGAAAAAAATTGCAAAGTAGGCTTTAATTAGTTACATTTTTCGATGACACCACAATATTCTTACGAATAAGTTCACGGAATAATTTTTAAGGCATAGTAAATAATCATATCTAAGTTCTCATAAACCAGTTTTTTAATCCATAACGAAGTTTTGTTAAAATAAATAAAAATGTTGTTTGGCGCTTACTTAGTTTTTTTCCGAGCGCTTGCTCGGTATGGCTATCTCATAATTTGCGTACTATGAAGTCATTGCATCACTTTCATTTTGACACTCCCTCAGTCGTCCGTTAGCTTCACCGACAAATGAATAAGCCACGCCCCCAAAATTTCGATTCATTTTCAAGGTATCCTCTTAAGGTGGCACAAGTCGCGGGCTCGAACTGGTCAAAAAGCACGTTGTCTCACTTGGCATCGTGCCCGACAGAGATAGTATCAGTGAAGAGCAGTTAGAACGCACGTCTTGTTCGTACGGCGTTCAGAACCGTTAGAACAAAAACGAAGTTACACGAACACGATGCACACATACATACCACCCTATTCTGTGCCGCTCGACGCTTGCTGAGAAATCAGCAGTACCTACCTACAAACTATAGATACCTAATATAGATTGCTTATTTTATTATGTTTTGTTTTCCCCGGGTGGTCATGCAGCGATCACTCAAGAGTTCACGACGCCGAAGCATGAACTGGAACAGTCATCGCAGTTTATATCCGTACTAGCTGTTGCCAGCGGCTTCAAACGCGTGAACTCGAAAATTATCCCACAGGAACGAAATACCTGAATAAACGGTATCAAATGTGTTATTCCAGACCAGGTATAACCTATCTCTGAGCTAAATATCATCCAGATCCCTTCAGCTGTGATTGAGTAACATACATCTATCCATTCAAACTTTCGCATTTATAATATTTAGATAATAATTGTAATTAGTTCCGCCTACCTGTAAATTGTCTTCAAAAATACTTACCTGTATTCTTACTTTGTTTTATATACACACAATATCATCAAGACTGTTTCCATAGTACCGACGTACTTAGGCAGGTAGGTAGGCAGTTTAGATTTTAGTTTCCACGACGCAGCGACAGTTTGCCAAATTTTGTTGTATAGGTTGTGGGTATCTAGGTAATAACAGTAGGTAGACTACTTATCCACCGTCCACGCCGCGCAAGTGATTCTCGTCCCATCTGTCCGCGCAATAACTTTTTTTTACGACCGCGCGAGACTGTCGCAACAAAAACGATTACTACCGTAAAACTAAATAGGTACCTACCTAACATTCAAATAAAAATATTCTCAAAAAGCTCAACGAATTCAGAATTTAATTTTGTTAAAAGAAAATTGGTCAAATAAAAAATAAAGGATGAAAATAAAGCATATGGGAATATAAAAATAAATCGTATTTATTTGTTACTTATTTCGAGTTTTACAAGAAAAGTATAATATTTACTGGAGACAATTATTTTATTATTATAATAGTACATGATATTCCCTTTAAAATGACACCAATATGAATAATATCTTATATCTATATCTACAAATAAATAAAATTGAAGTGTCTGTTTGTAATGTTAAAACAACAGCTTTTTATTAAATGCATATGAAAGTACTATTTTTGTCTGTCTGTCGGTCTGTCTGTCTGTCTGTCTGTTTGTTCCAGCTAATCTCCGAAACAGCTGGATCTATTTTGACGGGACTTTCACTGGCAGATAGCTGATGATATAAGGAATAATTTGAACTACTTTTTTTTTTTAGAAAAAGAATTAGGGTTCCGCGCAAAAAAATTAAAACCCATGAAATCATGAATGAAACATGAAAAACTAGTACTCAATATAGATAAATGTATACTTATTTTTATTTATTTATTATTTTAATAAATAAATAAAAATAAGTATTAATAATTTCTAGACACATCTCAACAGATATTTCGTTTATAAATTGCTATCAATATTGAAGCATTCTTTTATATTTAGCATCCATTTAACACAAAGCTGATAGGAATACTTTTTAAACAACATTGATTATATTAATCAATAAACGATAATCGCGTATAGTGAATTTCGAGGTAAATTATTATATGTAAACGTTTTTGAATCGTCGTAATGAAACATATTTTCTAAAGAAAATATCTTTACAATTAATTTGATGTAAAATAACATTAGAAATAACGTATAAAAACAGAAAAATTATCAAATTTTTGACCGAGTTCCTAACCAGTACACAAACAAAAATGGCGAAATGTCATTTTCACATTTTTTTCTATATAGTTATTTGTTACAGAGTACACAGATAAAATTCACTCTCACAGATGACAAATTTCAAACACTACAATCTCTAATTTTTTACTCTGCTATCTTCAGCGCTGTACACGAACGGAACGATGTCGTTGAGAGCCGTAGCTCACATGGTTAGCGCTCGTTATAGGTATCACAGTACGGGAGCAACCCGGGTTCGATCCCCACTGGCACCAATGAAATTGTTGCGTGCTGATTTAGCTATCAGTTGGAAAGTCTGTTTTTCTGGGCCATTTTGTTTTGTTACACTGACATCTCGCAAGTCACCTAGGGACCTAGGAGATTGTCGGTTGCTTATTTTTTTTTCTTTAAAATTTTCGTCGGTAAAATAACATATTTATAAAAGTAAAAAAAAAGTAAAGTTACAGCCTATATACGTCCCACTGTTGGGCACAGGCCTCCTCTAATTTCTGAGAGGGTAGGCAAGGAAATGTCCGCCACGCTGCCTCAATGCGTGTTGACGAACTTCACATTTCTTCGAAATATATATTTTTTAATTTCTCAGACATGCAGACCCGAGTTCGATCCCCGCCGGCACCAATGAAAATGTTAATTGCAATTGTGCTGATTTACCACGTGCTCGGCGGTGAAGGAAAACATATTGAGGAAACCTGCACGTCTGAGAATATAATTATAATCGAATGTAAATCAAATTGACATAGGTAAGTACAGATAAAATTAGCAGAACATTAATAAAATTTTGAGATCGTTTTTTTTTTTCAAAATTTTATTTATATATTCCTGTATTTTTGTCTGTGCTTATATTA